TTCTAATAATTTTAAACTAATGGTTTAAAAAAAAATTATTTCTAAATTATAAAATTGAATCATTAAAGTTTACTAATCATATAATGAATTTTTTTAGGCCCTATTTTGGGATGTTACAATTCTTCCCCCCTTAAAGAAATTTCGTCCTCGAAATTTACCTGTCATAGGATCAAACAAATGTGGGTACTGTTGTCGCATTGATTCTTCCGTCTCCCAGTTGCTTCTTCCGTGGTATGATTCCTCCAAAGAACCTTGACAAGTGGTACTTTCTTGCTTCTCAGTTGTCGGGTTTCTCGGTCAAGGATTTGAACTGGTTCTTCTTCATAAGTTAAGTTTTCATCCAAGGTTACCATTCCTGGTTGTAGTATATGTGTGGGATCTGCTTGGTACCTTCTTAACATTGATACATGGAAAACGTCATGTATCTTGTTGAGCTCGTTTGGTAATGCGAGACGATAGGCCAATTGTCCAATACATTCAATGACTTCGTACGGACCAATGTATCTTGCGCTTAATTTTTCTTTCTTCCTAAATCGTAGGACATGTTTCTAGGGTGATACTTTGAGAAAAACTTTTTCGCCGATTTTGTACTCCATGTCTTTGCGTTTGAGATCAGCATAGGATTTTTGACGATCGGATGCAGCTTTGAGTTTGTCTTGAATGGTCTTTACCTTCTCTTCAGTGTCTCGAACTATTTCAGGTCCAATCAATTTACGCTCACTTAATTCTGTCCAGCATACAGGAGTTCTGCACCTCCGTCCATATAGTGCTTCGTATGGTGCCATTTGAATGCTCGATTGAAAACTGTTATTGTATGCAAACTCCATTAAAGGTAAATATTTTTCCCAGTTTCCTCCAAAGTCGATGACACAAGACCTCATCATGTCTTCAAGAATCTGTATTACTCGCTCTGATTGTCCATCTGTCTGAGGATGGAACGCCGTACTGAGGTGTAGCTTAGTTCCCAAAGCCTTTTGAAATGCTTGCCAAAATTGGGATGTGAACCTTGGGTCTCTGTCGGAAATGATAGAGAGGGGTATTCCATGAAGTCGTACAACTTCTTGAATGTAAAGTTCAGCCAGTCTTTGTAATGAAAAATCCCTTCGAATAGGTAAAAAGTGAGCCAATTTTGTGAGTCGATCCACGATTACCCAAACTGAATCATTCTTCTTTAGAGTTTGAGGTAGCCCAATGACAAAGTCCATCGTTATACGGTCCCATTTCCATTCAGGAATAGGGATAGGTTGTAGTAATCCTGATGGAACTTGATGTTCGGCCTTAACTTGTTGACAAGTTAAACATCTCGTTGTATACTCTGTGATGTCACGCTTCATGCCTTGCCACCAGTACTGTTGTTTCAAGTCTTGGTACATTTTTGTACTACCAGGATGCATAGTGTA